ACATGCTGTGTAAGTTCCAAGGAAGGACCAAGAGAGGGAGAAGTAAAAATTCTAACTGAGGAGATTTAGGAAGGCTTCCTGGAAGAGGTGGCATTTGGGATTGTTTTGAAGAATGAGTAGGAGCCATAGGTATGGAAGGGGATAGTGATACAGGAGAAACAACCCTGGACTCTCACTGGAGGAGGCAGTAGCATCAGGATGACTTATGTTAAAAAATGTGTTGATGCAGCCACTGTGGAAAACAGTACGGAGATTTCTCAAAAAGCTAACAATGGGACTACCATATAACCTAGCAATTCCACTCCTGAGTATACATCTGAAGAAAATGGAAGCATCAATTTGAAAAGATACATGTACCCCAAGGTTCATAGCAGCATTATTTACAATAGCTAAGATATGGAAGCAACTAAGTGTCCATCAACAGATGAATGCATAAAGTGGATGTGGTGTATATATGATGAAATACTACTCAGTCATAAAAAAGAATGAAGCGTTGCCATTTGCAGCAACATGGATGGACTTGGAGGGTATTATGCTAAGTGAAATAAGCCAGACAAAGACAAATACTGTATGATACCACTTATACGTGGAATCTAAAAAATACAACAAACTATTGAATATAACCAAAAAAACCAGACTTACAGATACAGAGAATAGATTAGTGGTAACTTACATAATATTGTCCTTCAACTATACTTCCACTTAAAAAATGTGGAGGTAAAGCCTCATTCTTAATGAGCAGGGCACTGCTGATCACAGTGTTCAAAAAATTGTCACTGGGGCTAAACTGAGACACAGGTTATGCTCACATCACAGCAAATTTATTGCAGTGGTGACAATGAGACCAGTAACATTTTTCACTAAGGTTATGAGTAAACATTGGATGTACCACAGCCGCAATCTGGGAACGTATTAAGGAATAATATAGTTCAGCTCATTAGCCAAAATAGCAATGTACTTCTTGCAATTTTACTTTTAGGGGACTAAACTAAATTATTTGAGAAAGTAGATCCCAACGATTCTAAGTGGGATACTTTTTGAAGTATGTCGTCGGTATCAAGTGGAGATAACAGAAACCCAACTAAGAAGATAGCAAGAAGGCTGACAGAACAACTGTGGGTTAAGCATGGGATCCTTTGCGAAGGCCTATCTGGAAGATAAGTCTTGACTCAAGCTTTGGAGGAATGAAGGCGACTTTGATGGGCAGTGCAATGAATCAGAACAAGTCAAATTCCTTAACTTAAAATGTATTGACTGAAAAAACGTGGAGGTGGTACCCGGTTGTCTGTGGGTCTTTGTGGCCAGGGTTGTTGCTCAGATAACCTCCTCACCTCTCCACGTCCAGTTTGGTTTGCCTTAACCAGACCGTCCCCTCCCCGGGGCCTGGCTCAGTTGATGTTTTTGGAAAAGGGATTTTGAGCTGTAAAGGACTGCTATTCCAGATGTATGCTCGGGCTTCAGACGGAAGAACTGGATTCAAAGGAGCAGCTAAGAGGGATCCCCGAATCTCTGGGACAATCGCTTTCAACTAGGATTTGGGGAGCCTAAGGTTTCCACAGAGGTGTCCTGGGTGGGCTAGGAGACCACCCTGCAGAAAGGCGGATGCCTAGGGCCTGGGCTCAAGGTCTCCATTGCATCAACCAGAAGAGCTCAGTGTCACCTTCCTTACACACTGACATTCCCAGTATGTTGGAAAAAATATTGTTTCAGGTTAAAACCCCACAAAGCTAGTCCATCATCATCGTCTCATCATATTTAACAGTAGCTGATTTTGAGTGATTTGCACGTGGCAACGTGCTTTACATGCCTTGTCTCATTTATCCTCACTGCAACTCTAAACGGTAGATATCACTGTTATCCCATTTACACAGGAGAAAACTTGGGCCCAGAGGTTAAGTAATTTGACCATCACACACACGTGGTACGTGATGGAGCCCGGCTTTGAACCCACACAGCTGGCTTCTGAGCCTGCACAACTTTCCACTACGAGGTACTGAGGAAGCTGAGGCCCAGGGAGAGGCAGGGACTTGCCCCAGGCCCCACGCCTCCTCAGGGCCTTCTTCCTCCAGACATGCTCCTTCCCCGTCTCCTCCATCCTTAGTGTACGTTCTAGAGCTAACTCACAAGTGGCTTTACATAGACCATCACTTAGTTGCCAAGCGTCTGTGCTCCCACCCGGGGAGCCGCTGGAGGAGATGGAGCTGTGACACATCTGCTTCAGGACCCCCTGTTCTGAAGGGGCCTGGGATGCTCCCCTGGCCTGCAGCCTCCTTTCCCAGCCTCTGCTCTGGAAGCAGCTGAGGACCTTGGGCATGGCCTTCCAGGCCCTTCACAGTCTGCACTCATCCGTCTGTCCAGCCTCACCTCTGTTTTCTCTTCTTCCTACACTCTTGCTATTGCAGATATGTATTCATCCTGTTCCTTTGTCCATGCTGTTCCCTCTGCTGAGAATACCCTTCCTGCCTGGTTGGCCTGGCATACTCCTCCTCAGATGTGCCTTCTCTAGGGTCCTGAACCTCCTCCCAAGACAGAATTTCTCAATCTCTCCCAGCGCCCTCCCTGTCACAGCGCACATCCCTGTACTAGAACCACTGATTGACGCCTCTTCCTTGATTCAGAGACACGCAGGTGGTCCCATTTTCCCTGGACTAAAATCAGAAGAGGTCTTACAATCCATGCTTCTGATTATTTCTTGCCTCCTGGAACACTGTTATTGAATGGATAGTATTTTGTAATTGATGTTGTCTTAGGATCCAGGGCTTCCTCTCCCTCTAAACAGAGCTCACATGGGTTGGAAGCCAAGACCCAGGTGTCTCAGAACCCCCAGCAGCTAGCACAGGGGGGCACAGAGGAGGAACCAGGTGGTAGCGGCCATGGTGTCCATGGGCCCAGGTCAGCATGAGAGGCCTGCGAGGCTGCAGGGTCCAGGGCATCCCTGAAGCCCAGGAGAGCCTCCTGCAATTTCTACCCCTACCCAAGTTCATGCAACCACCTCGTGGCATATGCCCTGGAGAGAAACACGGGCAAGGACCGCAGACTTCCTTTCCCCTGTGTTACTTTGCTAGGGCTGCCATAACGAAGTGCTACCACTGACTGGGTGGCTAAAGCAACAGAAATTTCTCTTCTCACAGCTCTGGAAGCCAGAAGTCCAAGATCAAGGTGTCAGCAGGGCTGGCCTCCCCTGAGGCCTCTTTCCTTGCCTTATGGATGGTCATCTTCTCCCTGTGTCTCCGCGAGGTCCTACCTCTGTGCGTGTACCTGTGTTCTAATCTCCTCTTTTTGTAAGGACACCAGAGTCAGATTAGATTAGGACCTACTCTAATTTAAACTTAATGACCTCATTTTAATTTAATTACCTCTTCAAAGACCCTGGCTTCAAATACAGTCACATTCTGAAATACTGGGTGTTAGGACTTGAACATACAAATTTGGGAGGAACGTATTTTGGCCGGTAACACCCCTCTAAGGTTGACCAAGCTCAGTGTGAAGCATGTCAGTCTCAGATTCCAAACCCCACTGCACCCCACGCACTGCTTCCACTTTTCTCTATCAGAAGTAGCCACCATAGCTGACGGCCCCTTGCCCTTAGCTCTCTTGAATTTCCAAGAGAGTTTTCCAGCGAACTCTCTTCTGATCGCTCTGCCCTTCTCTGTCCTCATCTATTTAGTGCCTGGCTCCAAGCGCCTCCTGATCTAGGTCTTCCAACCTAAATCTCCCATGGCAGGTGGCTCCACCTCC